CCTACTCTGATTTTCAACTGCAGTCCATGTGACTGGACGTCGTCAGCTCGAAACCATTCAAGTGTGTGATTGTGTATGCGTGTACATATATATGTTTGTGCTACACATCAACATAAAAAGAGAAGATACAACTAGTAATATAACCCGGCAATCATGTGCGCGACCGTCCCGCGGGGTGACAGACAGTGGCGGGGACGAGGTAGCGCGTCATTCTAGCACACGGCTACACACAGATGCACGCGTTTCCCTTCCCCGCTACACCACCCGCTACCCGCTGTCATCTTGAGTACCTCGTCCCCGCCACCGTCTGTCACCACGCAGGACGGTCGCGCACGACGTTGATGGACTATAGTAGTGGTAGTAAGTACATACATACAAGTATCTCTATGATCCCACGACTACCAATTGCCGAATGACGTCTCACTGTACAATATGGATCAGGATATTTTAAAACTTTGAAATTGCATAATAGACATAATAATTTACGTACTCATTATTCAATACGATGGCGTTTCTAATATAAACAAGAGCTCCCACTAAACCAAAATAGACGATGATGTATAAGAGCATGTATGTGATTATTATCAATCGTACTAAACCCATAGTTTATAGGGGAAACGCACACCTCTAGCTCCATTCTTCATACAAAGGTACGTGCTCCTGTTTAAAACATTTTCTTTTTGTGTATTATTTATTTGCTCAGAGATAATTCATTTTATCTGGCGATTTAAATTTATCTTAAAAGTAAACAAAATTTCGTCTGCGAGTATTTTTGAAATTGACAACCGTCTGACAAGTGTATATATTTTTTTTAAAAACCTTTTGTCACGATCCCTGTGCGTTCAAAGCTAAAGCAAAGGAATTGGTATTTTTTTAGACTGGTATAGGTGGAGCCGCCAAAAAATGCTCATTTTGATGAATATAAAGACTTAATATAAATTATTAAAACTAGCTGACCCGGCTTAATTAATTAACTTAAAATTAAAAGGCTTGTTTTACAAACTTGTTTTACTTTTTTTTTACCGCCTCAGCATTACTCGGACGGTATTCTGTCGTGCATTAAGGAAATGTCACACTTCCGGTTAATTCAAATAAGTTGGACTATTATTGTCATAGTGATTAACCCGTCCAATTAAAAAGTGCAGGAAATGTTACACGTTACTTGCTTAGTGACAAAAAAACAGACAAAATCTTCCATTTACAATACGACCTTGTAATTAAATAAAATTATTAAAAAAAAAACAACCTTAACCTATTGTAAGTCCTTGTAATGTACAATATTTTTCGTTTTTCCTTCTGGAGAAAAAACAAATAGTGCCGATGTTTTGCCGACTCTCGAGCACGCAACGTACAACGCCCACGAGAAAAACACCAAAATTCAGGGTTTATTCTTCATTGGCCTTGGGATTTATTAATAGTCATTGCGAAAGCAAGGCGCACTGCAACTGATTATGCTTATATAAGAGTTGTTGCAGAGGTATGATGTTCTCACTCCTACCTGAACGATCAATTGTAAAGCGTTGGCTTACTTCAGCTTCAAAATTATCCAGGAACTAAATTTGAGGAAATTTGTAATTACCATCAACTGATAACAACAATGCTCCTGCACGGTGGTGAATTTGTCCTTGAATCTGTAATATTGAACATAGGAAATATTTCAAGAGATTTCTGAGCCTCATTAGAAGTTTCATATGTATGTTTAAGTTGGATTGAAATCGCGTTCTTCAATCTTTTTTGAACCAAATCGTGTCATTTGGAATGCACTATTGTAACTTTGAACATTCTACAAAAAATGCTTTGATAGAGGTTCTTGCCCTGAAAGTAAGAAATTTTGATACAGATGTGTTATCAGTTGTGATAATTTGTCCTTTCCATTCGCACTACATAATCCTGGATTTTCTGTTTTTCCAGAGTTATGGTATTTGTATAATAATTTGTAATATTTAAAGCCGTGTAGCGACGTAGCGCCATGCGTTAGTGACTTTGCGACTGAATATTATATTTAGTGTGCTATATTTATTATTTCCTTTAATAAACCGTCATTTTGAACTTTTACTACAAAATACAGCTCCATTTTTTTTAAAGATTGTAACAGTTTTTTTTTTATTATATTAGTATTGCGTACGGAGTTGTAAACAGCGTCGTTGCCCGCGTCGCATTTATAGATTTACCCAAAGTAGATTGTAACTATAATATTGATGTTCTTCGTCCGCCATCGGACCACTAGATGGCGTTATTTTATTGGTAAGTCATAGTAAGAATTTATCCTGACAAATTGTATTGGTGTTAAAAGTGTCTTGTTATGGTAGGAAGCGAGTTACTTTTGATTTTGTTCGTGTTAACCTCGTTGATAATTTGAGTGACAGTTTAAAATGTTAAAGAAGGGATTCTTTCTAGAAAGTTCACAAACCGAGCATATATAAGTCCGGCTTTCAGCCACAGGGGACACTCTGCTAATTCTTGTCTTCCGATCTTAAATAGTATTTTGTTTGTCTGGTGATTTTATTTTAGTAATATTTTATTTGTTCGAAGTACCCACGCCAGTGTTGAGTATATTCTTAATTTTCTTGTACTTATTTGTTTCTGGAACCTTATCGATTATATGAGTGCTAATCCATTCGTAGGGCTCCAGATTTCGGGTCAAGACAATCAGTCTCAGACGGCGTGCTTTTTCGTTTGTGGCCTTTTGGTGCGAAATCGAGTTTCTCAGTACCCTCTGGCAAACTGGCAGTCACGCGGCTCACTAAGCAAGCGGACAGCCTTATTCAAGGGTTACGTACTACTTGTTAATGTTATTAATATCAATATTGAACCTTCCTTTATACCTAATATAAATAGCCGACTCGGGCGGGTGTGGAAGTGACCTGCTGGATTGAAGACGAGGAGGCTCCGAGCAGCAGCAGCTTTTTTTTTTTATTGTAACTTTGTTTTTTTTGGAAATATACATGTATGTATGACTGAGGTGTAAGTTGTCTTTCTCTAAGGAGTCCCTTAGGTTTCCCACACGCACACACACTTCTGTTTTCTACAAGGCGCCCTGTGGTAATCTCGTGAATCTCTCCACTGGGTAAGCCGGTGAGTAGTCCGCCTGACAAGAAAAGCGGCTACAAGATTAAATAAGAATTGATAATGATCTAATTTTTTTTATGTGACAGATGTCTCTCACTACAGTCCAAAAACAAAGAAGATCGAAGAAAAGAATAAAGCAATTAAATTTAAAACGGAGTTTTACTGAACTTACGAGAATGTATTAATTTTTCAAAAGAATACTGACTGTTTTCTTATTGTAGACATGCCTTTAGAAGCTTTATATTACTTTTAAGTTACCTACCTATACCTCTGTTACTTTTATTTTATATAAGGCCCATTAAGCGGCCTTACTCATATACTTAAATGCTCATCTACCTTTATACAAACTTACGTAATCTAGCCTTAACCCACCGAAATCTTTAAAAACTACAGAAATATTAAACATATCAAACACTAAATGAACTGAATAAATGGGACACGAAATAAAGTTTTTTTTTCCGGCAGTATGTTAATTAATTTAGACTGAATTGAGTAGTTTTCCTAACTTATCTATCTACCTTCTTTTTACATAGAAATGTGTAGCCGCAATTTATGTACACGTATTCCGAACGACTGCACAAAATTGTTTTTTTTTCTGTACTTTATTGTGTGGACAAGGTAAGTTTAGAAAAAACAAACGATCACTTATTTGTTTTTAAATCTCATAATATGATAAGGGAGTGAATGAGACAGGAGACTGTGATCTCTCACGGTCTTCTGTCCCATTCACTCACTCCAAATTTTTTCTTTGAGGTTCGCGGGGTCAACTCATATGTTATTTAAGTTATATCAGAAAGAAAATACAAATATTTTTATAAATAGTTTCAGTTTATTGTAAGAAGTGAATGAGTATAATTTTAAGACAACGGTTTTTGTTATTCTAAAAAGCTCAAATTAAAATCTGTTTAGGTCACAGGGACATGTCCAATTTCGAGTATATACGTTTATTAGTATTTATGCGATTTGGTAAATAAGAAATGTTAAAGCTGGAGTTGACACCCACCAATTTCTTAAAATCGTAGCTAACGAATGAAAACTTTTTAACAACATTAAATTGTCAGTTGTCTGAGGATTTTGTATTAGCAGCAGCAGCAGCAGTATCTTATAGAGGGGTCTAGTATGCAAAAGCAAAATCTAATTGTTTTCTTTTTTCTGTTTTTATTTATGCATTTATCCGTCATCTTAGAATGGTTATGATGATTCAGAAAATGCTAGAAAGACTTTCAAAATGTAAGGTGCAATTTAAAAATAATGTTGCGCCATAGGATTAAATGGTTCGATTGCATGGAATGTGGAGGACAGCGCCATCAAGTTTCGACTCAAGTACATCTATTAAGATTGTGGTTAATACGAGTAGTTCTGAATTTACAGCGCTTGACAGCGCTGCAAGTAACGCGTGATTGTTTCTGGAATATTCGTGTTTGTCTGGAACGGACTGTCGAATACTAGGAACTTTCTGGTAAAATTCAAAAGCTCTATAAAAGTAGAGCGTGTTGGCCGTTCGTCACAGTCTCGTTTTACGACACAGCGAATTAACATCGGAGTGAATTTCTAGTGCGACTAACAAGAGATATAGTGATTTCTAGTTTATTATAGTAAGTGTTTGTAAATACAGTGAAATAAAGTAATTAACCGACAACTTTTATTTATTATATCCCCCGCTCGTAACAATAATAATATCCCGAGCATATAAAACGGCTGATATTTTAGGTACAACTATATACTTAGATCTAGTCTTGACTCTCATAGGCATCGGGGTTGCTAATTCTTAAATATAGAAATACTTTTAAGCAAACGTATATTTAGAGCTATATAGTACATTATACTCAGATTCATTTTGCACTTACAAGCAATGTAACAGGTAACTAGTAATTAGATCAAATCTAAAGAATTTAAACGTGAATTAACGTGAATTAATCAGGTTGTATGTAATGGACCAGTACACCCTAGTTGAATCATCAGGCAATTCAAAAGATATTAACAACATAAGTTACATAGAAGTTTATGACTATGTGAGTAAACGATTAGCAAGGTCGGGATTAAAATTATATAATATATTTAAGAAATTGGAACATTAGTTTCTTTTGAACGTCTAAATTACAAATAAAAAATTAAATTAAATTTCCTAATAGGCTCCAAACCCTAATAAAATACCTTATACTCAAACCTAATGTAACAAATATGTTTCTCTCTGGGCTTACCTTTACCTTACCAATACATAAAATACACTTGATTGTGACAACGGACACTACTGACAGCACAAGACATTTTCCATTCAATTAATATATTGCAGAGATGTTAGATATACCAATTTCTTGGTTAACGTACCATTTTTCAGGGTATTGTACCGTATACCAAGTAAAAATTGTGCTGGTACGTAATAATACCAACTTTCTATTTTGATCATACTTAAACTTGTATCTAACAATATATAAGTTGTTGCTGTACGTCCAGTTACAACATTGATTATTGTAAAAATGTACTGTTCATTACGATATTGTTGCGCAGTAGGATTAAATGGTTCGATTGTATGGAATGTGGAGGACAGTGCCATCTAGTATCGACTAAAGTACATCTATTAAGATTGTGGTTAATGCAAGTAGTTCTGATCCTTAATGTAGAGAAGTAGACTGACTGAGTAGACTGATTCTGGAACATTCTTGTTGTCTGAAACGGACTTTCGAATACTAGGGATCTTTCTAGTAAAATTCAAAATCGCTATAATAGTAGAGCGTGTTGGCCATTCGAGCCAGTTTCGTTTTACGACACAGCGAATTAACATCGCAGTGAATTTCTGAATTTCTAAATTATTAGTGAGTGTTTGTAAATGAAGTGCAATAAAGTAAATAACCCACAACTTTTGTTTATTATATCCCCCGCTCGTAACAATTATCAATGGTTTTGTCAGAAAATAACATAAAAATTCGGTCAATGTAAGTCAGGGTTATTTTTATTTATTTATTTGCAAATTATGTAAATAAATTTATAAGATCTAATAATAAAAAGTCAAAGAATAATGAGAATTAATATCATTAGTTATAATATTAATAATAATTTGTTAATTTTTTTTTCAAGTATGATTTTTTTTCAAATAATCAAGTAATTCTTCGATAAAATTTCCTTTAAAAGAACATACAAAATAAACGATTTATCAATATTATTTTTATTATCATACTGTTATTGTGAGTGTACCATTTTTTTAAATACTAGCTTCTAGCGACATCTGTACCAGCTTTATTAGGCCATAATCTAACAAATCCCTCCCTAATCATTCAAGGCGAACATGTCAGTTGGCTCAGTGGCACTGACACTCATGGCACTATATTATTAATTGTAATTATACATATATTTTTCACTTTTTATGTACATATTATTCCATTTGGAAAGGGTCGATTGCTGATATATTATAATCTAAAGGAAATAGGTAAGTCTTCATGTATTTTGATCACATTCCTAAAATTAGTTTTTTATCGTCATTAACCTTGACAGTTAAAAATAAAAGTAATAAAAGGTATGATTTATATTAGCATTTATACGTTATTTAGTTCATACAATTAATTGTTTCTTTCTTTCAGTTTCTTTTTATATTTGATATTTTTTTCAAAATATATCTTTTTTTTAGCAAACATGTCACACGCCAAAAAGTTTTTCAAGCAATTGAAAAGCAAAGAATTCAGAGACTATTTAATGAGGTAAGCTAGTAACTTGTATTATATCTCTCTACAAGCTTTAGGTAACAACATTTCTGTCATTCAGATGACATTGGTCCTTGGGAACAGAAAGAGACACAAAGAAAACAAGATTGATTAGCATGTTGGTCCACCCCACTAACCACAGTGATCTTGATTGCTAAGCCAGAGTGTATTCTATCACCATCAACATAAATAATTGTCTGATGAGTACCATCAATTCTTCTGTGTGTGTGCTATATCTAACTAGCTGTTCCGGCGTGCTTTGGAATGCCACATAAAATATAAACACTATAATAAATTCCATTACAAACAAAAAATATAATTTATCAGTTTAAATAATATATAGGACTAGCTGACCCGCGCAACTTCGTCTGCGTCTCTCAATAGTAATAAATTTTCTCCGTTTTTGAAACATTCTTCATTGGTGCTCAGCTCCTATTGGTCGTAGCGTGATGATATATAGCCTATAGCCTTCCTCAATAGATGGGCTATCTAACACTGAAAGAATTTTTCAAATCGGACCAGTAGTTCCTGAGATTAGCGCGTTCAAACAAACAAACAAACTCTTCAGCTTTATAATATTAGTATTGATTCAACGGGCCTGTTGATCTAGTGGTTAGTAGTGACCCTGACTGCTAAGTTGTTAACCCGGGATTAATATTGTATAATGAGCACAGTCATTTGTTCTGTATCTGGGTGTAATTTATCTATAATGTGTATGTATTTGGAAATATATAAGTATGTTTATCAGCAGTCTGGTTACCACAGTACAGGCTCTGCCTAGTTTGTGATCAGATTCCTGTTTGTGAGATATGTAAAGATATTATTATGCCAGGAATGCTTACAGGCATCTCTAGAATACCGTACCAAAGTCTCATCACCACTTGAACAATGGTTTTAGATTGCATAGAGGACAAACAAAGAAATATTGACTTTTTTTTATAGATATGTTTATTTAGCAGTACATAGTATGTTTGTCTGCAGTCTAGTTATCAAAGTATATATTTTGCCTAGTTTGGAATAAGATGGGTCACCTAAATGTAAGTGACTAATGCCACTTTATAAAATGTGGTGACGGATTAAGAAGACAGAGTGTCACCTCCCGTTCATCCCGGGGCGTCGTAAGAGCCAACTAAGGGAGAAAACTATGCAGGACAGCACAGCAAAGAGAAGGATGATTTGAAAGAAAAGCTATGCCAACCCATCTAGCCAGTGTGGTATAGTAAAAAGAGGCTTTCTAAAGAGAGGCCTATGTCCAGCAGTGGACTATTAAAGGCTGTTGAAGATGATGATGATGAAATCTAATCTAATTTAGTTACAATTTGTGGCAATAACTGTATTGATGGGAAAACCAATTGATCCATGTAAATAACACTCCTTTGAGAACTCTAGCTAAGGATTCCAATATAGAGAGAAAGAAAACTAAATTCCTGAAGCGGAGAGTGAGTTGTAACAGCTCTAGAATATAATTCTTTGTTTGAATGGTTATATATTCTTTATTTTGCATTCCAGCACACATTTTTGGGGTCCAGTTGCCAATTGGGGTATTCCGATAGCAGCTATTGCAGACACAAAGAAGGATCCCAGTTTTATAAGTGGAAAAATGACATTAGGTAAGATGTGTTATAAATATTTGTTTATTTGTTACTGTACCTGTACCCTGCAACGCTTCGCAGTGTCACATCGTTGTGGTTGCTTTGATGAAAAATGAGGACTGATACAAAAAATACATTAAACAATTCTTGAAGCGGGTTGTATATAGTGTCAAAATTTGAGCTCATTTGTGTAGAACTGTGAGTTTTTAAAGTGTACACAAACTAACTTAAGATCTATTTTCTAATATATAAAATTCTCGTGTCACGGTGTGCATGGTTTACCGTGAAATTTTGTGTTTATATCGGGTAGGTCTGAGAATCTTCCAACATCTATGTTTCATACCCATATTTTCTTTTTTTTTTTGACAATTGTTTTTGAAATAATGTATATGGCAAAACCACTTTTTGGCCGGGTCAGCTAGTTTTTAAATATAAAGATTAGATCTATGTATAAATAGGCAAGACAGTTACGAATAATTTTTGTCAATTTTTTTTATTACTTTATTTAAAAGACGACTCCTGTAGTAGGAATAAATCCTGTATCGCGGGAGACTTCACAAATATACATAAAACAGACACAAAGAACACCCAGACTCAGAACAACAATTTGTGAATCACACAAAGTGTCGTCCCATGTGGAGATCGGACCCACAGCACTCAGCGTAGTAGCGAGCGGCGTGGCGACCACTTAAACCACTACGCCATCCGTGCAGTCAATTTGTTTTGTACTTATTGACAAATTGCAGTGATATAGAAAATGTCTAGTATATATATTTTGACCTCAAGAGCCAATGAAATAATAATCCAATATGTATTGCAGTCAGAACGAAAACTTGACACAAACCCTATATCAACCCGTCTGGCCAGCGTGGTATAGTAGGCCAAAACCTCCTTTCTGATAATGTGATGTGTGTGTGTGATGTACTGGTGATTGAAATGAATTTAAACATACAATACTGTACTATATACTACTACATAATGAACTAATCAGTTGAATATAATGATTGATGAATTGGCCGTTCGGTAACCACTCAGGATATTTTGCACACAACTTGTCGGGGATTAAAAACCGACATTGTATTTCCAAATGAAATAGACATCCTCGATAGAAAAATGACGTTCAAGCTGCGATTAAAATCTAATCGACTACAAATTAAGATTATTACAAAGCCCAGAGTAGAGGACTTGAATTATAAATTATTATGCTAGTTGACTCGGGCAATTTCGTCTGGTTCTCTCAAAAGGAATAAATTCCCCTCGCAGCATTAGTACGCACGGTCGTATCCTGATTTTATGTATTATGTATATAATAAACTATCCTAAATTTTTTTTGAAGTAAAAGTTCTTTACCCACGCTTGATTTGGGGAGTAAGCTGGTGAATGCGTGACGAGGGCGTTACGAAAAGTGTGATCGGGCGAGGCGAACGGAAGTTGAGAGGGAGATATAAGTTAGTGAAGATAGAAAGAGAGGTGCGAGCACACATTTTATTTCTTTCTCTCATAGCCAAAAAGTTTAACTTCAGTCGTGTGGTCTAAAGCACACTCGTTTTTTTTATTTCGAACCAGCAGTTCATGAGATTAGCACGTTCAACCAAACAAACAAACTCTTCAGTTTTATAGCTGTCACTGTGGTGAGCGCAAAATAATAAAAATCCGTAACACGACACTCGCGGTCGTGTTCACAAGTAAACGAGGACAATAGAATAAATTAGTTATGGTAATGCACGGATGGCGTAGTGGTTTAAGCGGTCGCCACGCCGCTCGCTACTACGCTGAGTGCTGTGGGTCCGATCACATGGGTCGACACTTTGTGTGATTCACAAATTGTTGTTCTGAGTCTGGGTGTTCTTTGTGTCCGTTTCATGTATCTTTGTAAAGTCCCCCGCGACACAGGATATATTCATAAGGCGGGAGTTGTCTCTTTTTCAAAAAAAAAAAACACAGTTAATTACCATACAGAAACAAAACTGATGTTGTTAATTATTTCACTTCCTATTCAACTAAATACATATCCACTCCCGTCTGTGGACCCCCGAAGACATATTATACCATATTTTGCCGATTGTAATTGAGGGGCTCGTGGCTGAGTGATAACCGAGTAGGTTAACACATCGCCAAAAGTTAAGCAATCCTAGCCAGGTCAGTCTATGGATGGGTGACCATTACTTAACACACTGAGATCCCTCCGTGCCTCAGAGCACGTCCAGCCGTCGGTCCCGGTTGCCATACGAACATTTGTGGCGTTGCGGGTAGTCTGAAAAGTCCAACAGTCTTTGTACAAAACTTCGATATCGCCGACTTGGGTTGTGGAGGTCTGATAACAGTCGCCTCCGCGTAATAAAGTTCAGTCGTATCGTAGTAGACTTAAGCCGATCCCAACCTAGTTTGGGAAAAAAGCTCGAAGAAAGGATTTAGTCGACTGTAAGTTTACCATAGTCCCATTTACGGAATAACTTTAAATATCATCACATCACTTCAACAGCCTTTAATAGTCCACTGCTGAACATAGGCCTTTCCTTAGAAAGGAGGTTTTGGTCTACTATACCACGCTGGCCAGACGGGTTAGTATAGAGTTTGTGTCAAGTTTTCCTTCTTTTTGCAGTGGTGTCCTGCGTTGTTTTGCACCCTTAGTCGCCTCTTACGACTCCTTACGGAATGAATTGGGGTAGTGAGAATCCGTATTCTTAATCCGTCACTTTAAATATACTTGGGCTAACTATTATTGGAGTCATTGACTAGAAGTAAGACTATTAATTGCAAATCGACGCCGCCAACCGAGCATTAGAAAATACCTTCCTAATATTACTATTATTTAGACTCTTGTGGGATGATAGAACTGCGAGGCTGGGCTCGGGATCCAAAACATTCGTATGTAACTATCGAAGTTCATAAACCTCACAAAAAAACAATATAAACATATGAATATAATATTACGTAAATGATAAAAAAACTTGATAAGCTACTGGCGAACTACTATCTCTAAAAACGAATAAAAAAACTTTATTTTATATACTACAAACGCTGTAATCATACATTTCCTGAGTATAAATCAGTATTATCTCTACTGATATTGCAGTCAATAAAATCAAATCGATAAGCATGATTTAAAAGCATAAGGACTTCGAGATATGGCGACAGATAATATAATATTTAAACATATATGTGAAGACAATTCTTTGTATCCCTTTTCAACCGCCGCAGTAACAATTTTAATGTTTTTTTTATAATTTTTACGTTGAATAAGGCCTAGCAAGAAAGAATTTAGACATCACAAGTGTCTGATCATAGTGTCTGATGCCAACCAAGGCAAAGCCTGAACTGATAAACATTCTTATCTGAATAAAAATAATTATCTGTTACTGCACAGCAAAAATAAATCGTCTCACTTGTCCTGGACGGGAATCGAACCCACGGCCTCTGGCTTAGTAGTTAGGAGTACCACTAGCTAGACTAACAGGCCACTAAACTAACAGCTGTTTCGAAAAATCATGAACATCATTATATCTTGTTTTACTTTACTTTGACTTGGCATTTAATTCATTACATTACTAGCCTTAAAACAAGTATGATCCTTTGGCGGATATTTTTTATGACTTAGTGGGCAAACGAGCAGACGGGTTAACTGATTGTATGTGACTACCGCTGCCCATGAAAACCTGCAACTCAAGTGGGTTGCTGTCCTTTGAATACCCTCCCCTAGATTTATAGGGAGTTGGGGAATCGTACACACTCGGTGTAAAGCAACGAAAGAATTGCTTATCACAGGTTTCCTCTGCGTCCGTATCACCCCAGTCGACCCGGCATATATGTTACAAAGCCACGCCTCCCACGGTATAGTTTATAGACTTATAGAAAAATACAGATCTTCCTGACTGTTGTCAGGGAATAACCGCCTGAATATAGAATGTTCATGAGTATAATAAAACTGTAACGATTGAAATCTTGTTTAGTATGACTTACATGCGTTTATAACACAAGTAATGAAATTATAGTGCTATTGTATTGTTCTATAAAATGTTTTATTGTTCTTTTATAGATTATGGCCTCGATTGTATTAGATTATGTTTTATTAGTGTGTGATTGGTTGGTTTTAAATTTAACATTAGGGGAAGAGCTCCCGCCAAGTCATCATCTTTTTTTTCAAACCCGTGCAGGATCGTTTTCGATCCGAACTTGTAGATTGCCTGAATTTATAGTGACCAACAGGGATGTGCCGGATCGTTAACAAAGTATATCCGCGGATACGGATCCGAATACGGATATTTGGTGTCAAGATCCGCGGATACGGATACGGATCTTAAGTTTCTTACTCAATCGGAGCCCGTGACCTTGATAGTTGTCGCCACTTGACGCTTTGCCGTTGACGCGTGCCAGACAGGTCAGTACGTGTTTCGTAAAGATGAAAATGTTATAAAGATTCAACTTGTGGTTGTCCCATTATAGAAGTGATGTTAAAAGTTTCTATAATATTTAAATATTTCATTATTTTAATAAGCTAATACAAAGATGTTTGATTGATCTCATTATAAAGATAGCTCTTTCCGTACCTACGACCTGCCTAGTTGATTTAGTGTAGTACGATAAATGATTGCAATACCTTTGTGCCAAATATTTGTTTTAAGAAATAAAAAGTAATCTGAACAGAATTCAATAGTGTTTCATAGCTACCTAATAACATTATTCAGGGTTATTTTAAATTTACTGAAAACCTCTGAAGTGCATATTAGTAACATTATAAACAACAACTTTTCTTCTGGACTAACACCGAAAACGAAAGAAAAAAAATTGTTTCTCCATACAAACTAACAACATTTGATTGGTAATTTGAATGGAGGACCATTTTTTTTTCATTTTAACGTTGGCCAGAAAAAAAGTTGCTGTTTATAGTGTTACAAAGTTTGTGTTTTCACTGTAAAACTATTAGGTATGTGTTTGTAATACAAACACATACCTAATAGTTTTACAGTGAATACAAAATCACCTATATAGAATTTCATCTATGTATTGAAAGATCCGTG